AAATTCCAACATAAGGTCAAGCATATTTCAAAAAACACTTCAGGATAAAATATCATTTGTAAGAGAAAATCGAAGTTAAAGTCGTATGCAAATCAGGACAAATCTCTTGCTCATATAAAGATGCGGTCACGGCAATGATTTTCCATTGTGTTTACTTTATGAATTATTAATGAATTTGATAAATGCCCATAAAGGTTTCAGGCTCATATTTTGTATTACTAACTAACAGCTCAATGCATATCTTCCTGTGAAACAGTTCTTGTTGCTAATATTTTTTACTGTTGTTTATTGATGTATTAAATCAATTAATTAATATTAATTTTATCTTTCTGTAGGTATGGAGCGACAAGAGGAATTGTCATCGCTCTTTGTTGTACGTTTTTCGAATTTCTCAACATCCCAGTGTTTTGGCCAATACTTGTCATGTATTTTGTAATTCTTTTTACTCTAACAATGAAGAGACAGATCAAGGTAAAGACTACAATTCATTCCACAAACAACACTTTTTATAAACAAAAGATGTTTTTACTGAATCTAGACCACAATGCAATGCAAACTGCTATCTCAGAAAAGGCTTATTGAAGGAAATACTGTGCATGTTTCAGTGCTAAATGGTTGTTTGCCACGCCATATTACAGTATATTTTGCAGTAAACAATTGTGTTTTCTTATTTTCTTCAGCATATGATACGATACAGATATCTTCCCTTCTCCTGGGGCAAGAAGAAGTACAGAGGCAAAGAAGATTCAGGCAATGTTGTGAAATCTTAGTTTTCCTTGACTTCTACTATAACCATAGGCTTAGCTTAGGGACTGTAAGAGGATGWCATATATCTTTGAYATGCTTGGAATTGCATTGTATTTCTTTTGCTTTCCAAGTCATGCAATGGCTGGGCATTCTTGTATGCTTCTTTGGCACCTAAGCTTTCAATATATGCAAACCTGGACTGGGTTGTTCAAAGCTTGAAAAAACAAAAACAAAAAAAAAACAACAACAGCAAAAAAACCTGGATTAACACTAATCAGGCTTTGAACAATTTGGACCTGGATATTTACATTCTGGTGAACAAATTTTTATTCATTCATTTTCCGAGCTTTCAGTCAATATGCTCTTCAATTCACTAAAACTTTCTTTACCTTAAGAGTATTTCACAACATTTCTACAAATCACAGAAATATAACTCAATTCCGTCTTTCCATTTATAAACATTAGTTCCTTCTAAGCGGTCAAATAGAGCAATCACTGTTTTTTTATTGAACGAGGAAAAAAGAACATTGCTGCATTATTTTTGGGTGGTAAAAATACATAAAACAATATTATTTCATTAGAACTCGACAAAATCGGATTAATATAGAATGTATATTAACGAACGATATTATATATTTTGATGTATAGAACGAGTCATTTAAGTGTAATGTATTGGTGGGTACGTACTGGTGTTTTATTACCATAGAAATAATGACTGTTGGTAAAAATATACGAAGCTTTCTCATGTGTTTAGGTCTTCCTTTAGGATTTCTTTTTGTTTCTTGTTTAATTAAACCTTTCYTTTCTCCACACATTGTATCAGGATATCCTCATTCAAAAAGTAGATCAATGTTTTTGATTTGGATTATAATCCCAAAAGTTCGAAATTACTGCGTGGTTCTTGTGTGTTTTTTTTTTTTTATATATATTATAAGATTAAATCATTCTCAAAACGGTTCGCTCAATTTACACCCAATTGAAAAAGTGTAGTCGAGCTCAAAAAGGTTATTTTATCGAAGCTCAGACCGAAAGGGATCATGGGAAGGCAATGCTTTGCTACAATATACCATCGTGGTATAATATACCATCGTGGTATATACCTTCCAACATTGTTGTAAAGTAAATTGATGCGAATAGTCTCCTTCACGGATACCTGCGCCATCTTGAAAGGTAGCCGTGCCTTTGCATCGAAGCGAGACGACCGTTGAGCGTGCAATGATAGATACCTGTGAATAATTGTCTATAGGTGTGAAAGAAGGTTTCTATCATTGCACGCTCAACGGTTGTCTCGCTTCGATGACAAGGCACGGCTACCTTTCAAGATGGCGCAGGTAACCGTGAAGGAGACTATTTATGAGTTCAAAATCCCCTTCGTTGTTAGCTTCGAAGATTACTCATCTTTTTGCAACTCGAAAATGATTTTTCAACTAGGTGTATAAATTGGGCTCATATTACTGTCTCTGAGAGTTCTGTATATCATTTTTCCATGATTTTTAGTTTAGAATAAAGTATTTGCTTAAAATAAAGATCCAGTCATTTTAAGGGAAAATTATGACAAAAAAAGATAGAAACGGAATATAAAGAAATGTTTGTCTAAAAAACTGGCTCTCCTGGTCTAATTTGGACTCCCAAAGAATATTCTCTTATGACGTCATGTGATATTCAGCGAAATGCATTATGGGATTTATGAATGTGAAACCTAGAAGCTAACAGAATAGGACAACAAAGTGTCCTCCGTGATTACTATAACCGCATATTGAACAGATACTTTTCTAATAGTACCATGATACATTTCGCATCTTCTCAAGTCTGACGTCATAAAAAACGTCTATCATCAGTGGAAGTGACTCTCTTTCTCTTCCACTTATAGATTCGGCCACTGCGCATGCGTCCAGCCCAGCCACTGCGCATGCGTCCAGTCCACTTGCCCCAAAAGCCCAGCAAACGTAAACAGGTATGCGGCTCTGTCAGGGATTGACTTGTTTTGCTGAAAAATGTTATTTGAAAGGCAATGATTATGTATAAAAATGTAATTTTAGAGACTCCCGGTAGAAATAAAATAAATTTTTAATGGATTGAAAAAGTCATGACACGGATAATGTTATCCTGCAGGCATTTTACGTGGATTTTTATGGAATTTGAGTGTCCTTTACGTTTCGCAGTTGTCATTTAGACATGGTTGTCTTTAGGTTATTCTGCGTTGCCTTTACGTATTATGTGCTGCATGGCGGCTTTGCGTTTTTCTTGTTCTCGTTTAGCCTAAGTGTTTTTCGATAAGTTCACTTTCTGTTGCCTATAATACGTTTTCTTGCGTTCGATATGATTACGTATAATTTACGTATGATTACGTCCTTTGTGGTGCTGACGTTTCAAATATTCTAATGTAATTTGCGTTTCCATAACCTTTACGTTGATCTTCCTTTGCGTTTACGTTTGTACGTTCAGTTAATAACTTGAGGTTTCTTGTGGTTGAATACCCCATTTTTGAATTCAAAGCGAAAAATCGTTGCTTCATTTGACAACAGATTCTGTTGCGCAAAGACCTTACCAAACAGAAAAGAATCGAATTTCTTCCTTAATTTATTGGCAAATTTGAATCTTTGAATAAAGCTTTACTTGCTTCGTCGTTTAATTCGAAAATGACTTTAAACATCAATTAGATTGTAAAATATCAAATCGGTAATAATTGAAATAGYATATAAGTTTACATGGGATTAAGCAGTCCATTTTCATTTGTGGTCAATCGACCAATACAATACAGACTACAGAAGATGCACAATATAAATGCATTAATAAACAAGTCTCGAGGACGAAATGATACAAGTCTCTCTCGGTTGTTGATTTACAAAGGAATGATAAAGTGCGTCATCTCTTGTTGTCTCCAATTCTTGCTTTATGTAATGCTACTCCTTCACTACCGGACATTGGTATATAATATTTTCTATTGACTTAGTCAAGAATTGACCCATTCTCCTATCGCCCCTATGCCACACAGGGTACCACGATCAGCATGGTACACAACAGCCTTTTTCTTGCTGACTTAAACTAGCCTTGCAGTGTTTCTTGGGACATTTGACCGAAGTACAGTTTGTGTCGCCGTTCTGGAAGAGGATGAACAGCAATGACAATGAGCATATTTTTGGTCAGTCCTCACTCTCTGGTTTTATTCCCCCTACCCAACCCTAGTTAGGAACTCCACCATACATATGACAACTGCAACACTGTACTGTATTCTATGGCCCGAGTCTTGCGTTTACGCGTGTTTCAAAATCAGTGAAACGGAGAAGGAGAAGACTAGCATTTTTACGTAACCGTTTACGATTTTTCGCAATTCCCCCTTGCTTGATCTACAGTGACGCGTAGCATACTTCAAGACAAAGATGACCGAAAAAAATACATTTTTACGTAACCGTTTACGACTCTTTTACGTAAGTCCGTCTTACCTGGCAGTGACACGTAACGCACTTTAAGAGGCCAAATGCTGGAAGATATGGTGACCATCTCGCTCCATTGGGATACGTGTTATGTCCAAATTGGCAGTCTAAAGGATGACGTTAAGTAAATATTATGATTGTCTTTTTCCGTAATGACGTCATGCGTCATTCGGTAAAGTGCATCATGGTATTGATAAGAGTTTCAAGATGGCGGGTGTTTTATAGAATAGAGATCAAGAACTCTTCAAGTTTCATTGCAAATTAACGTTATTCGTTGTTGAGAATGCTTTGTGAGCATCAAATGATATGCCTGCGCACTAGAGAGTACTAAAAGACTTTTCCTAGAAGCAGTTAGTATTGGTTATTTGCAAAGCAGCCGCAACAACATGGCGGGCATCAGGTTGTAATTTCGTCAATCCCATGGTGCATCACGCCACCGTCACAGGGAGAAAATCTCATTTAGTCTCGGTCTTTTTTTACCTTTTTTGAGCGGTACTTTTATATTTTCATCTAGAACAGAAGACATGGGAATGTAATGAGCTAAATGATTATTTATGAAGTTGGTCATAATAGAAACAAACTTTCACGTTTCCTTGCGCCATCTTGAAAGTTAGCCTTGCTTTGCATCGAAGCAAGACGACCGTTGAGCGTGCAATGATAGAAACCTGTAAATAATTGGCTGTAGGTGTGAAAGAAGGTTTCTATCATTACACGGTCAATGTCAAGCTTCTATGCAAAGGCACGACTACCTTTCAAGATGGCGCAGGGAACCGTTAAGGACTATGGTGAAGATGGACAAGCAATAGTTACCAGGACATTGATAGCAACAGTTTGATGGATGCTTTTTAATAGGGAATGAACATGTTAAGTTTGGACACTTAAGTCTGCTGCAGCTTATTTCGTTATTACTAGCCTAGAAACGAAACGAAAGTGTTAGTAAGGATATCGAATCTATCTTCCCCTCCCCCTTCTTCTGCTATTCTCCTTTTGTGTTGTTTAGTTTTGCATCTTTTGCTTGTTTTCGACTTTTCCTTCAACTATCGACTTTTCCTTCAAATCTCCTTTGTTCGCGTTTTCACTTGAAATTTGAGATATAATCATTATTAGACAATGAATCCCCTCCTTTGACCTCGCCCTTCCTCCTCCCTACTTTTCTTCCTTCCTTTCTCAGCTTCCATTCATTCTTCCTTCTACTCTCCTTTCTTGTTTCTTTGTACTTCTCTCCGTATCTGCTCATTTTGTAACCGTCATAGTACTTACTAAACATGTGCACACAACGCATCTCATGTGTCCAAATGGCTCAATGTATGGATGCCAAACACTCGTACTCAAATAGAACTTCCTTCCCTGATCGACATAGCATCCCTTCAGCTTGGGCTCTGACCCACTTGGGTACGTCACGACAGCTTGTCTTTCTAAAACTGAATCGCATAACGTTCATTTTCGCCTCAGTCTGATGTTTTATAGATTAAAGCTTTGACAGTGATGAAGGTAGGAAGAGAAGAAGAGAGATTGAGAAGGGAGAAAGGGACGAAGAATATACGACGTACAGACTGAACGGAAAGGAAAGGAGAAAGATCGAAAGGAAGACCGATAAGAAGAACGTTAAGGCCCCTTTGCACTTGCAATTTGTGCAGGGCGATTTTCACGGCGATCGTCGCGCGACCATCGCCTGAGTCTCAAACATCCTTGAAAATTGGTTGCAACTTCGCGGCGATTTTCGATCGTCGCAACAATCGCAGATCTGTTAATTAAGGCTGATTTACACGGTACGATTTGTCGCGCGCGACTTGTAGTATACGATTTTCCTACTACAAGTCGTAGGATTTTAAGCAGTGGTTCAAAATCCTACTACAAGTCGTAGGTTGCGTACGACTGTTGTAGACAAGTCGTAGGGGCATTTACACTGCGAGATTCAAGTCGTATACTACAAATCGCACGAGACAATCATGCCGTGTAAATCAGCCTTTACATGTACGATTTGAGTTGCGCGATAGCAAAATAGAAAAAATGTAGAAAGAGAGAAATGAAGAACTAAGGGAGCAGAGTTATGAAGGAATAAGCTAGGAATAAAAAGTAAGATATAAATAAGAATGAAAGCATACCTGGGCATACTGGGCAGCATAAGTCGGGTATTGTGACTAACGCCTCGCTACAGTTTTTAGGAGAACAGACTACAGGAAAACACTTGACTTTCTTATCCTTAAATTCAAAGAAGCAATTATATAGTGTTATATATTACGAAGTATGACGCATGGCGTTGAGCGAAACGTTATGCATGAAATAGAAAACCGTATTGCAATGGGAGTACTGACTGTCTCAATAAACATTCGATAGAAAAACAAGAAATCATCTCACTGTTGCGTTTCTTGAACGTACAAACTACTTGTCAGCGGGAATTTACTGTGTCTTTAAGCATGCGCACTATACTAACCTTACATGAACACGTGGTACACTTTTTATCATAGTCTGGAAACCAGGCCTCTCCGTCGAAATAAGTCTTGCCTTCAGATACGCACGTGCCTTCAGGTTCAATATGTGTGGTCTGCGGTAATTTGCATTGACCAGCTTGCAATTTCACCTGTCCTCGGAGTTCACCTCGCGGGTTGTCATGGCTACTGATTTGAAGATAAACGCGACCTCGAATCAGGTTAATGAGGAACTCTGAGTCAAGATTGCGGTATACTCCGGATATCTGAAAGAGACAGATAGTGGTTGAACTCTAAACATTCGCCGTTCCGGGTGTTGGAGTTCTCCGTTTCCCGTTCCGGGTGTAGGAGAGTCGGGGGGCCGGACAGTATCAAGGGTGATTTTAACGGCAAGTATGCAAGGCAGAACGCTATAACTGAAGTATAAAATAAAACAAATCAAATGGTTTTAGACATGACGTACCATGCTTCCGTAGAAAGACTTCAACGAGTTTGTTCTTTTCTTGTAATTCAAAGGTCGCTCGCCCGCGAATGCAAATCCTTCAAGGTCAGCGTTTAGAATATTTTTCTTGCCTCGGGATCTATCGAGTCCCTTTAGAATAATGTGGTAGTGCAGAGAGCAATGGCGATCAAGCGACAACCAGGACAATCCGGACGATCCTGTCCGAGTGCTGGGAACGACATCATTGCCAGAAAGAAGAAGTGGAAAATCTGAGGAAAATTGTATTCTAGCATTTATCTGTCAAATGGGCATAATATCCCAGCATCCCCTTGTGTTATATTTCAGTGCAAAAATGCATGATTGTTGTCACTTTTGTAATGAACATTTAACGCTAAATGTATACAGTCAACTCTCGCCTTACGGACACCCGCTACAACAGGACACCTCGATATTACGGACAGTAAAATACTGAATCCCCGGCGAAAAATACAAAAACATGACTGAAAGTATCTCGCGTTACTACGGACTCTCGCTACTGCGGACACTAAATTACGGTACCGAGGGAGTCCGTGATAGCAAGAGTTGACTGTATATGGATTTTGTATATCAGTTTTTCAATCTGAAATGCTCACGTACCTGTGAATGGCGCCTGATGTCCGGCGTATGGTAATTGTTTTGTAAAGCCTTTCAGCTCGCCGCGACGATATAACCCAGTACGTACGTTCACACTCAAGATACCGCTGTACAATGCACATATTTCGGCCACGGATGGTCTTTGCCAGCTTCCATGGACCTATAAACATTGCATAGAGGACTTGAAGTCGCAAATTCTGAAACTTATTATACTAGGGTCTATATAGTTTATCATCCTACCACTAGATCATCTAGTATTTACCTGGCAAGATTTTGCTATGTATTTTCACATAGAATTGAAGAAACCACGAATAAAAACACAGTTTAACACAAGATCATTATTTCTAGTTTCTATTTTTTTTCATATCGAGTAGGAATGTGATGTTGGAAGCGTCACTAGCTTACCAGAGCACGTGATGGATCACGTGATGTCACGTGACGTGCAAGTTTCTTGACTACACGYTTACGGCTCATTTCAAGTGTTATTTCTAGTATCGGCTGCATTAAACCCACAACGGCAATCTGGAAACAAAAATATCAAAACGCAATAGTAATTATCAATTCGATYTCATGGGAGCCCTGTGTCCTTGGGCTTCCTTTGGTTTTGAAAAGGCCTGGTCTCGAAGCACATTCAACATGGCGGATGGCGGAGTCATTCGTTCTCTACAATATCTGGAGGTTTTAGGCATTTTAAAGCCATAAAAACTGAAAATATCATCCAAAGTGTGTTCAAGATTACTTCTAAGAAGGTAAGATAACAAAATATTCAAGGAAATATAGAGAAATATCAAGGAAATAATTCTCCAAACCGATTTGAAGATCGAAGCAATAGAATCATCATGACAACTCCTCGCGATTAATAGTCAATCCCACAGTTTGTCTAGAAATTCGTTCTGGTTAAAAAAAAATCTGAGTTTCTATAGGCTCAGCATAAATACAGGAGACTTAAATTAGGTTTTTGTCATACAATCCAGCAACATTTCTACTGGCCGGATCCTGGGCAACTTAATTTCGAAAATGCGAAAAGTGTGCACATGAGATTTTCAGCTCGACAAGCAATCTTGATTTTGAAACGCATTTCTTGATACGTGTAAAGAACGTAATCCAGATTGCAATAATTTGAGTAATCTTGATATAAACTGCAGAGATGACAACATACCTTGTAATTTAATTGCCCATTGGGTTGTACGACCAGCGATACATAACCGCTGGCTCCTGTGATCGTAGGCCTTGATGCCACTCGCCCAGATAATATGGCATACATAGCTATTGTTTTCAAAACAATGCAACATRAGTTTATATATAATATGACCATTGTCTTTCTCCACCAATCACAACACACTTACTGTTGCACGTGTTCTTGATWCCAATCCTCCCGGTCAGTTCCAACCGCTCTCCGCCGGCGGTAACCTGGAGTGTAAGGTTGACAATTCCTCTTGCCAACCATTTTAGGTGCTGCTCGCTCGGTAAGGACCACGTGATYTTCTTTTTCCCGCCATTTCTTTGCAGTGATGTTACGTTGATAGTTTTAAGATGTTGTGTTTTTCCGCTGGGAGGTGACTTAATAAAGTAGGCAGTGGCCGTAATTGGTTTATTGTCTGAAAAGAGAGTTAAGAAATGCGTCATTCAGTGATAAAAATAAGTCATTCAGTGATGACGTCATGTTTGTTTTACCGAAGTGCATTATGGTGTTGGTAAAAAWATAAAGATGGCGGACGTAAAAAGTAAAACATTGAATAAGATGGCTGCCGTTTTTATATTTCTTCCATAATATCATTTCTGTCTTTTTTGAGCGAGTGGAAAGCCATGGTCTCCCTGTGTTGCGTTTTTTCTGGCGCTGTTTCTCTTATTTCTCATATAAACACGCGGGTTATCAGCCAATAAGAGCGCGCGTTGTATCTAAAACATGTTTTATAAATAACGATAAGACACGCATGGTCTTGTTCTATAAACCATGGCGCTTCTCGTAGCCTACATCATAGTCTACCTGCATGAGTGAAGTCAGTATGTCGCATGTTGACGTGCAAGTACTTTGAGTTTCTTGATAAGGTAATTGATGCTAGTATAGCCATATGGGAATAGTGATCTTGCTTAGCCTGCAAGATGGCTTCAAACGCATCTAGAAATACATGGTCATGCGGAAATTAGATCTAAACAAATAAACTAATGGACAAAGGTAACTAGTACTACGTCAACAAAACCACTATTTATAGATCATACGATAGCGTCTCTTTTGAGCCTGCCTGCTCTAATGGGATCTCCATACCTTGTGAGTAGCCATSATAGGGTGTCACGTGACCGATCAATTGAGAACTGGATTTCTTTTTAAACTTTAAAACTGCATTTATGCGTCTTTTTTGCAACGTTTGGATTTGCTGATTGCTCATATCTTTCCATTGTAAGCAAACCTAATAAAATGCAAAAATACTTTACAATTGGTTATAGTCAAACAAGAATTTACCATTGGCACCTGTGTAATTCTATCTGTTTTGGGTTGTCTTTGTATGAAATAACATGTTTTGGG